TAGGGTTTAGGGTTAGAGCTGTGGTCTAGGGTTTAGGGTTAGAGCTGTGGTCTAGGGTTTAGGGGCAGAGCTGTACATACAAAGGTACAGGCATGCTAGCAAGCTGGAGATAGATAGATCGATCGACAGATAGATAGACAGAGAGATAGATAGATAGATAGATAGATAGATAGATAGGCAGGTAGATAGATAAATCGCAGATAGAGGCCAGAAAGGTAGGAGCACACAACACAAATACTCTACCACCGCATGAAAACCGGACAAGCTTCATGCGACTTTCAGGACCCTGTAAAACCCTCGATTGAGATGCGCTCAAAACCACCATACAACACTCACACACGCCCAAACCCTAAACCCCTGAACCCCTAAACCCCCCAAACCCCCAAACCCTAAACCCTACACCCCCAAACCCTAAATCCCTAAAGGCCCTAAACCCCCAAACCCTAAACCCTACACCCCTAAACCCACAAACCCCCTAAACCCCATAGACCCCCCAACCCTAAATCCCTAACCCCCCCCAAACCCTAAACCCCAACACCTAAACCCCCAAACCCCAAACCCTAAACCCCCAAACCTAAACCCCTACACCCCCAAACCCTAAGCCCCTAAACCCTGTACCCTAAACCATAAACCGCTGAAGCCCTAAACCCAAACGGCCCTAAACCCTGTACCCTACCTAAATCATAAACCCTCAAACCCCTCAACACCGACTACCCTAAACCCGAAACCCGGAAACCCCAAACCCAGTGCCCTAAAGCCTAGACCCTAAACCCTAAACCCCGAAACCCTAAACCCAGCACCCTAAAGCCTAGACCTGACTACCCTAAACCCCTAAACCCTAAACCCAGCACCCTAAAGCCTAGACCTGACTACCCTAAACCCCTAAACCCCCTAGGGTTTAGGGTTTAGGGTTTAGGGTATCCCTAAACCCTAAACCCCAAACCCTAAACCCTAAACCCCCAAACCCCGAATGTCAGCTGAAGCTCCGGCCTCGGGTGGAAGGGTCCCCAAGGGCCTTCCTGGGAGCGATCCCTCCAAGGCTCTTCCTGGGACTTTGCTGAGGTTTAATGTTGAGGCTTTCTGGGGGTTTAGGGGTTAGGGGGTTGAGAGCCGTTTAGGGTTTAGGGTTGAGGCTTTTGGGGGTTGAGGGCTTAAGGGGCTTAGGGTTTATTCTTTTTGGGGGGTTTAGGGGTTAGGGTTTAGGGCAGTTTAGGGTTTAGGGTTCAGGGTAGTTTAGGGTTCAGGGGGGTTTAGGGTTTAGGGGGGTTTAGGGGTTTGGGGGCTTAGGGATATAGGGTTTCGACTCTTCTATTTGTTTGTTTTTCAGTTTTTTTTTCATTTTGTGAACTTCCCCCCCATACAGTAGTTGTCTTTTTTATGTCTCCCGTTTTATTGATTTTAGATTTTCCTTCCATAGTCAACCGTTTCTGAGTGAGGGCACGATCCACGTCTCATTTATTAGACCTTCTGGCTTTTTAGATTACGCATTATGAATATTTTCACCATTGTTGAATCTCTTACATACAGCTATTTGTTATTATGTCCATGCTTTTTCTCTAGGGCTCTTGGGGTTTAGGGTTTAGGGAACCCTAAGCCCTTCCTAGGCCCTAGTTTAGGGCTTGGGTTTAAGATTTAGCGGGTCGGGCTGGGGGCTTGGGTTTAGGTGCGTTTTTTGTTGAACGCTTGTTTTGTGTCTGCCGAGGTGGTTTAGGGTTTAGGGCTTAGGGTTGTGTATTCTTTCGGTGAAACCCAAACAGCACCGAGGTGCGACAGGGAGACGAACCAAGGCGCCGGTGATGTTAACTTGTAAGCACATGTCTAGTACTGGAAGCACCCCAGGCCAGCCTATAGGGGAGTTAGAGAAAATTATGAAGTGTGCTTCTGTGGTATCTTCTTATGATGAAAACCCTGCTATTTCCGGAAACTGTCCGATACCCTGCTCTGAATTTTTCTGATTACCCGGGTCAGTACACCTGAGAAAGCACAGACCAGGCAGGAACTCTGAATGGACATGACATCCACAACGCAGCACTGTGCTTGGAGGGTCGGGGGACTTGGTAAGTAGATATCAAGTAGAGTTATAAGTACCCTAAAAGGGATCCTACTAGGGGTTATGATACTTATAAGTCTGTAGAAGACTAAGTACTAAGTCCCCCGACCCTCCAAGTAGACTCCTGATTATCGGAAGGCCCAGGGGTTTAAGGTTTAGGCTGCTTGCCCTGATCGGGGATGATTCAGTCGAGGCGCGGCGCTTGCGGCACGGAAGTCGAGAAGACAAGGGCGACTCCTACGTGGTAGGCAGGCACAGGGTCGAGGGCTTGGGGGTTCACAGGTTCTCTACAACCCTTAATGATTAGAATAAGGTTTAGGTTTAGGGTTTAGGGTTTAGGGTTAGAATAAGGTTTGGGCAGATATAATACTATAGTTATACTAAGGAACCCCCAAAACCCTAGTCGAATTACTAAGGCCCCTGCATTACACGTTTAACCTTCGAGGTTGTTTGCGGTCCCGAGAGCTGGAATCCCTGAAAGCCTAGACAGAAGCAGGGTCCCAGAGAGCCCGATACCCCTCAAATAAGGAATGTACCTTAAATCATAATATTAAGCCCCTTATAATGTAAGGTATACCTTAAATAAGCAATGTACCAAATCATGTAAGGTATATTCCTTGATTAAGGGGCATTAGGCTCTCTGGGGTAAAGAGGCCAGGGTAAACGATGACCCTCTACCGGCTTTTAACCCTAAACCCTGAACCCCTAAACCCTAAACCCCTAAACCCCTACATTCTAAACCCTAAACCTTAAAGCCCTGAACCCTAAACCCTAAACCCTAAACCCCTGAACCCTAAACCATAAACCCCTAAACCCTAAACCCTGAACCTTAAAGCCCTGAACCCCTAAACCCTAA